ACTTGGAAGCCAGCTCCTCTGAGATTTAGGACTTGGGTGTTAAAACTTAATCCCAGTAACTACACCAGCAAAGACAGAACCACAAAACTTTTGTTTTACTAGAAATTAGCCCTTAAGGGAAATAAAAGTTAATGTGTTTTTTCCCCTTAACTTGTTTTAATTGCCTAAACAGAAAAGTAATCAATGCATAATCTAACATGTACTAATTAACAGAACTACAGACAATTACCTAACAAACAAAATGTTGGAAATGCAAACTCAGTGCACTTGAGTTAAATCAGACCTTATTAAAGTATAATTATTAGTTTAAGGTAATTTGGGCATGCATCCATATGTCTATTGGTTTGTGTGGGGAAAATAATTGACAACATATTTTGCCTTTGTGGGAGGGGGCAGTTGGAGGGAGAACATGGTACTAACAAAAGTAGAGTGACATCTGAAACAATGGTCGAGCTTGTTCTGAGGTAAAATACAGAAAATGTGCCTTTCTTTATGATGGAGGTGAAGAGCAACGACATAAAACCTCCAGGCCCTTTGGGAAATAAGTAAGACTGACAGATCTGGAGGTTATTAGTGAATCATTTGAGAAGCCAAAGCGATTGTTAAGATGAATTATAGAAAACTAAAGTTGGAGGTCACTCCCGAAGTTATCTAGTCTTGTCTTCTCCTCTGAGAAATGGAACCATATATCTAAAACTTTCTTCTCAGAAGCACTCCCAGTAGCAGAAACTTTATAGTTTCTACAAACAAGTTGTTCTCTTCCTCAAAATATTATTGTTATGTGAAGGAATTTCCTAATATTTGATCTGCACTGTTCTTGCTCTTCCTTAGCCCCATTAGTACATAAAAGTCTTCCATCAATGTCCACTGCGAGCACCAAAGAATCATTCACATATTAAAAGCAAACATGTTTCTAAGTGGGCCCACAAGGGAGGGAGGGATCCAAATTCAGGTATGTTTGCATTAAAATAAAAACCAAACAAAATTTATTCCCTGTCCTATGTTTCTGGGGAAACCTCAGGGTAATGGGATAAAGAAACACGCAATGGCCGATGTCTCATTTTTGAAAATATAAAATATTTCTCACACTATCTTATGACAGCAGTTGCTATGATGCCCACTGCATTTTCTCTAAACATGTACTCTCACCTCCAAACATGCACAACAAACTGATTTAAATTATGATTGGGTGTCCATGAAAAGTCGCCTGAATGACCCGGCAGGTGGTGGTCTGGGAATGCAGTTGCACCTGATAGTATGCTACAGATTCTCCACTCCCCTGAAAGTAACTTATTTGAGCACATTGGTAAAAAAGACAACTGTTCTGTTCATACGAATTTCAGGAAGCAGTGGAAGTAACAATAGATGTAATAGATCAGAAATTATGTTCTCCATGAAGCTGAATCCCAGAGATTTACAGAAAGCGGTCTTTTGGGAGGTGTGGCGAGAAATAAACAAACAGGCTGCTCTTCTATAAGTACCATTGGAGCCGAAAGTGGACAGAGTGACATGATTCATCACACTAGACAGAGAAACCAGACAGGTTGTTAATTTTAAAAATGGCCTATTAGTGTTGACCTATGGACCCTTTCATGGGTCTAGTGCAAACACCAGCAGACTTTCTATAATTGTCGCTTGGAGCACATAGAGGCTGATGCTCGACTACCAGTGTGCAATGGCACACTTTCCATAAATAAATGAGGTACAAGTACCTGTTGTGATGTAAACAGCACTTCTAGCCCTATCAAGTCAACAGGCTGCCACCATCCATAGGCCTTTCTAACTATCTTCTGGACACATTTGAAAGATACCTCAGATGCTGAAACTTCAAAATCAAAAGCAACACCCCATTATATTAAATCAGGCCAAATGCCTGACATTTAGATTGAGTCACCATAACATTTCTGTTCTCTGTGAAAGATGCATTTGTCACAAAAAAAGAGCCACAGCAAGCGAAAACAACAAAACATTACCTCATGCCCACAGTAAAAAATTTCAAACAGTAATGGCAACCCCACTTTCTTTGCAGAAATGTAACAACTAAAACATGTTGCTTTGTGATTCTCCAAGCATTTTGGTCTCTTTTGAGAGCAACTTGCGCCCTGTCCCTCCATCCCATCCCTTTGGGTGTTGGCAAGTGTGCCCCCCTTCCCCCCACAGAGTGAGAGTGGAACATCCAATTAATTTGAAACTGATTCTGACATTTTTTTTTTTTAACGTTTTCTTTCTACTGAATTTTCGTCTTGAGGGAATAAAATAATGAATCTGGATTTCTCAGTTCCAGCACCGGGGGAGACCTCTGATAACCTCAGCTTGCAGAGACTAGTAATGATTCCTTGAGCAGTTTCGCTACATGGATTGCAGTTGCTTGAATACTTTCCCCCTGTTTGGCCACATTTGTCGCTGGACATATATGCAAAGTTTTACTTGAAGCCTCTGGCCTTCCTTGCGAAAAAATATTATTGCTGGCCTTCACCGTTGGCAAGTAAGTTATTTTGTGTAGTCAATTAGTTTAAGGCCTTTACCAGTGATTGTTTTCCCCCTTTTAGTTTTTGATCTGAATTTGGTAAGTGGAAAATTGACTTTGTGTGCTAATATAGTTGACCAAGACTTGTCTCTCCTGTGGACGATAAATTTGCAGGTGAAACCCCATCAGTTTTCAAACATCATTAATTGGTCACATTGTATAGTAGGGGCAAGGAACCTGTGACCTCCCAGGCCTTCCTGGACTCTAGGTCCCTTCACCCCCAACCAGCATTGGCCATTAGTCAGATATTATGGGAGTTGTAGTCCAGCAATCTGTGGAGGGCCACAGGTCCCCCATACCTATTGTATGCTTTTATTACATAGATTTGGATGAATGTTTTTGAGATATCGAAACCTGTAAGCTGTAATCGAGCATCTGTGGGGAATAAATACTATATGTAAGAAAAGAACACCTCCAGAAAAGAAATTAAAAGCATACTTTTTTTTTTTTTGCTGTACAGTAAGTGTGTATAAAAATTTTAATCTGTTTGCCAGTGCAATTTTCTGGTTTTGTGCAGATTAGTCATGTCCAAAGCCCATTCATTTTGGGGGCCTAATCCAGCAATCTGGCTAGTTTTATCTGGCCCCTGTGGCAGTTTGTTTATTGGGGTCAAATCCTTAAAAAAGCTCAACAACTTTTGTTGGCCCCCATGGATGTTCACTTCAGATTAATGCTTCCGCATACACACACACTTCTGAAGCACCAAGAAATAGGAGCCAACAGCTAGGGGCTGAGGTCCCTTTACACACACACACACACACACACACACATTGAGGGGGCCAGCCTCTCCCCCCAGTCGATGGGCATTGTCACTCAAATGGTGTGCATGTGATCACTTATGTGGAGCAGGGCTTACCTGCCCCCACCCCAATATTTTATTCAATCTGTGCACCCCTGAGTGGAGCAGTTTGGAGCCTGATTTCCCCCAGTTTAGCTAATTATCCCCATATCAGATAAACCCGAATTTAAAGGCGGAAAGAGGAAACTTTGGTGTTGTTTGAGGGTAATGGCATGTGGACTACGTAAATTAGATGGGAATGCAAATAGCTGCAGACACATAGTGAACGCCAATGTGAACATGCCCTTACTATCTGAATCAAAGGCTGCAGTCCTAACCACACTTGCTAGGAAACAAGTCTCGCTGAATGCAGTAGGGCCTACTTCTTTTTGAACATGCTCAGAACAGTGAAGGCGCACTGCTCATGCGGAAACAAATGCCACTTTGCAAGTGAAACCTCTCACGGTTCGCAGTTCTGCCGTGATACAAACGCCCACACTCGCATTCTCGACACACTGTTACGCTTCGAGGAAGATGTCAGATTTGTGGCTCCTCCCCACACCAGTATCACCATCGTTTCTGGAGAGTGGGTGGTGTTAATGAGGGGAGGAGCCAAAACACGAGTTCCAAGAATTCACACGTTTTTTCTAACAGTGCAAGAAACAGCAGATCGCTAGCTGTTTCCATGCTGCCAGCATAATGAGAGAACCCAGTCTTAGATTTGAAGGTTTCATTTCACTGAGAACAAAAATAACTTCTGTTTTATTTTTCTCCAAGTTCCCCCCTCCCCATATCCTTCAGAATAGACTACAGTCCAGGTGGTATAACCTGAAGCCACTGTGTTTCTCCAAAGGTTCCATTTGTTCTATTTCCGACACACACTGCTGCTGTGGGTGCAGATTTCATTTCCTTATACACTGCCTACCTTGCGCTCAGAAAGTGGGGCTTCTACGAAGACTTGTGTTCTCTTACCAGAAGTAGCTGCCCTTGGCGCCACTTATAGGCACAGCACTACAACACATCAGGGATTACAACTGCAAGGGGAAATTAAAGATCCAGTTATTGGTTACCTTCTCCTCCTCAGTTCTTTCGACGGCTGGATGCTTCTGCCGCCAGTGCATTAAAGCAAGCGGGTTATGCTAACATTTGGAAAGCAGTCAATTAGAAATCAAGCTGATCCTCTCTGTAGCACAGGGCACTGGGGGATTTCTGGAGAACAATTACTGCATTCTGCCTGCATCTGTAAAAAACCCAGGATTGCTTCAGTCCGACCCATGAAAACACTCACACTTCTACACCAGTTAAACATCCCAGAAGATGAGACCAGAGGGCAGCATCTATGGACCACTTATCACACTTTAGACAAAACCCTTCTCTCTATTGACAGGTAATCAATCACAGAGAGTCTTCTTTTGTAGGGGAAAAATATTCTCTAGTCAATGACTGGACAATCTCTGAGCTTTTGCAACAGACCTTTGGATCAAGACTGGAACAAGAATCGCTCATTGATAAGGCTACCAAATGCTGTCGGAATATCCCTCCCTCCTTCCCAGAAATGAATATTTATTTTGCTTTCTATGAGAGATGGAGTAGTATTTTTCTTTTAAGAGCTTCAGGTGTTTTGCTTCTTTTTTAAGGGGGGGGGAGTTAGGGTTAAGAAGGGGGTAAAGGAGAGAAGGTGAGATAATTTGCAGCAGCAGGAGGAGGAGCTGAGCTTTCCTAAGGTGGAGCTGCATGGATCTTGTATTAAATGACACTGGCAGATTAACGCTCCGCGATGGGGAAGGGCTTAAAGGCTGAGTCAAAAGCCAAGAAGTCTCTTTATTTACGCCTACTACCTCCCAGCCTCTGGCAATCTGACTAATAACAAACTGAGCTAACAAGAAAGACTCTCCGAAGGGAGAGAGAGAGGGGAGCGAAACACAGAGAGAGAGCGTGCATCGCAGCAGTTTGGATCCTTAAAGCATCTAAAGATACATATTGCGTTTCTTGCAAAGCCAGGAGTGATCGCTGGAAGTCCTGCGGAGCGCTGGGTTTATTTACTGCATCCCGAAGCTCGCAAATGGTTAACTACGTGCAGAAAGTCAGCCTAGCTGGGAAGTCTGCTGTGAATTTTAATTGAGCAAAAGGGACAACTGTTTACAGGATGGTGTAGTGGGTTTTCTTTCTCCCTGGCGTCGTTCTCCCCCTCTCCACCTCCTGCAAGATTTCTTTTTTTTTAAAATTCCCCCCTCCCTCTGTCACTCTGCTCTCAGTCAAATATGATCTGTCCTGCTTCGGATCTAGGATTTTAACTTCAAGGAACGGCAGCCAGCCACGCTTGAGATCCCTGCAAAGAGAGACCTTAACCTAGGTTGGTGGGGGACTGGAAAGGGCTCCTTTTTGGAGATAACAAGGAAGGGGATTGTACACGAAGAGCGACTCTGTGCATCGCCGGCTGTGTCAGTGGGTGTAGCTGCTGTACAGGTAAGGAGACTTTCGTTTAGGAATTAACTTAACCATAGCCAGCTTTTTTTTTCATTGTAAAAATCACCTTGGCTACCTATTCTGTTTCTCTCTCCCGCCCCACCAAACACACACACACACACACACACACACACACACACACACACAGTGAGTTAGTTTGAGGTGCTTATTTCCTGTTAGAGCAAATATTTGCTCAAAACTTATAGAATGGCACCTCAAGTGTTGCATAGGTCCTGGGGATATTTTGTGCATGGAAGGATCTTAAAAGAAATTGGCTGGCAGGGAAGGAGAGATTTAAGGAGTGGCATTTGCAGTGGCACACACGAAAAGGACTTTACATACACCAAACCCTTAGATTCCTTCTGAGATCCTAGAGTAAACTGTAGTTGCCTGCAGAATTTGACAAAGGAGCACATAGCCATATTCAAGTGATCGTTCCTTAACCTGAGGCTTCATAGTCCGTCATAGCCACTTTCTAACAACTGTATAAGCATTAATTGAAACAAGAAATGTATTTGATTTCTGCTGTTATTTAAAATAGATGGATTTATTGCCTTCAATATGTATGGAAACTTTGCCTTAGGGACACTCATTAATCAGTGCTCCTGAAAATGCAAAAATGTGCAAAAATCTACCAAGAGGCAGTGGAGGCGAGTGGGGTGTGTGTGTGTGGAGAAAACCTCTGGTGTTCCTTAGGTTTTCCCCAAACTCCCTCCTCCCTCCATGCTCAAAATGGAACCATTTATTTAAGGTAGTTTTTGAAAGCATCTATGGAATTAGAGCATTGGGAATATAATGCTTCAACTAAGCAAGTGAATTAATAGGTACAAGGGACACTTCTCTGAAATGGGCAATATTAAGTAAGTTATACTCTTATGCCACTTTGGATATTTTGAAGTTTATATTTATAATATAAGGTTAGCAACCCCAAGGGGGCCATCTATGCATGGATAAAGCCATGTTTGATGGGGTAGAAGTTTTAAAATGTAAATAATATGTTAGCCAAAAATAGGCTTTTGTTTACAGTTGTGTTACTAGCAATGGCTTTTGAAGGCTGGGGATGAAGCGGACAGATGGAAGGACAAAATCTAAGATAGTGAGTTGATGTCTTCCAGGACTAGACAGAAGCTCCAAGAATCTATCTGCAGAGGGAGAAAAAACTGTGTGTGTGTGTGTGTGTCTGTGTGTGTATGAAAGAGAAAGAGACTTATTGCAATTTTACCCAGCCAAAGTATGACAATGATTAAGAGGCGAATGCCTTTCTAGCCGATTGCAAATTCTTTTAAACATTTGTGTTTCAGAAAAAAAAAACGTGGAAGGCTTTCATCTTCAGAAATGTATGTAAAGCGTCCTTCGATGCAACATGCACTTTAAATTAATGCATGTTGATTTACTTCTCTTAATTTTGCCCAAGGACATCGTAACAAGTATGTTCAGTGTGCCCTGCCTGCTTAGCAGAAGAACAGTTAAGAGAAAATAAAAGTTGAATTAATGACCCAATTGCTTTGCTAAAGACAAGTGTTTACAAGAAGCTTTATTTGTGAAGTTAGGTTATCAAAAACAAAGCCTTGGGTACTAAAAGTGGAGAATACTTTGTTTTAATGGCTGGTATTAAACTAACTCCTTTGGTAAAACAGGATCTGCGTGCTGGGTCTTGTTCATCAGTCAGCAAGGTTGGTTGGGGTGAGGGTACTAAAGTTAAGGAGAAGCAGATATTTAGATTCTAGAGTGGGGCAAGAAACTTTTTTTGTTTGAGCCAAAATATGTGTATTTATACCTTTATGGACAACACACACCCACACCCACAAACAAGAAAAAACCCACATCGTTACTTGTAGGCCCATTCAAAATATTGGAATACTAGGATAGTTGCCTTTAAGACTGAAGCTGCAATGCTATATACAATTACTTTGGAATAAGCCCCACTGAACTCAATGGGACTTACATCTGAGTAGGCTTATATAGGATTTCACTGCGAGTTCCACTAGTTATGGGGACAATCTGATGGTCACCCATGCTCTCTGGCTTAATGCTTCTGAAATGAAGCTTATAGTCATGTTTAACAACAACAACAACAACAACAACAACAACAACAACAACAACAACAACAACAACAAATCAGAATTGCTACCTGTAGTTGAACAGACTGATCCTGCCTATGTTTACTTGGAAGTGAATCCCTCCAAGTTAAATAATACTGCAGCCCTAAGAAAGACTCTAATGTTGGTAGCCTAATATAAGAGGATCAGAAAGGTCCATCAGCAGGGGACTTCTATTTGAGTAGGTTTCATTGAGTTCAATGGGGCTTACACCCAGGTAATTAGGTTTGGGATTTTGGTCCAACATCCTCTTCTCCACAGTAGCCAACCAGATGCCTTGAGGACACCCACAAGCTAGGACTTGAAGGCAATATTCCTCTCCTATTACATCCTCATGGCACTTTACAGCAATATGCTGTAAAGCACAACCAGGTTAAAATCTGTTGCAAAATCTCCTTTATTGAATGGCACTAATTGCCCAAATGAGTGCAGGGAGGCAACACACGACTTCACAGTGGTTGAAGACATGACCTCAATCCTGGACTTGTGCATATAGATGTCAACACACAAATGCTTTGTAGAAGAAAATGAAGAAAAAGTTCAACTTCTGCATAAAGCACCTTTCTGGGTGGTTGCATGTTGAACTGAGTCTCCGAGCCAAATTGGATGTCATCTGTCAAAACTGCAACCCTTTTAGCCCCTTATTATAGGCTAGATTCATGGGCATCAATAGCACCACTTCAGAGAAGCCGAAGCTGCAATTGCATGCACACTTGTTTGGAAGGAAGCCCCATTGAAGTAACTGGAGTTTGCTTCTAAGTAAACATGCACAGAATTGCACTGGAAGGTGACTATTGCTCCCTGCCTTATAATAAGCAGTGTACCAAAACAGAGCTTGCCTAAATGTGTTTTGAAACATCCTTTCTGAAGCAGAAATTATTTATTTGGGAAATATGGAACTATTTACTTTGTTAATACATTGCGAACAGATGACCCCATGTGAAACAAAAGGAGATACTCAAACATGACTAAGTAAACACATACAGATAAGTAAAGAATACGCCGTCGCAAGTCAAACTATATTAAAAGAACTGTGTTAGTACAACGGTTAATTTCCCACATTTAAACGTGTTTAATAGAACATATTGCTCAGCAGCTCCACATTTCCAAAAATTGGTTCCTTTAAAGGCAATGCACATTTTGAATTCCATAGGAGGCAGTATCATCCATGTATATATAGCAATTCTGTGCCATATTTACCTTCGAGTGAAATTAATAATGTAGATGAAAATGTCTAATATATCCAGATCAGCATCTTGTTCACAGCTTGCTTGTCCTGTCTTTTCCCACTTTCTTCTTATACTTATTTTCCTAGATGTACCTAAAATGCAAATACACACAAACAGCTGGAGGGCAAAAGTAAGAGATGATGCTTTAAGATAAGGACAAATTATGCCTTGCAACAAAATGTTGCAGCGTGCCCCAGGTGTGTGTTACCTGTGGTGGGTGAGGGGCCCTCGAAGACCGCTGTCCTCGCTCTTTCTTCACGTGCAAAATTTAGGTAACTTCAAAAACATTTGACAGCACAGCCAATCAGCATGCATGCATGCCAATGAAGCCTGGAGGTTGTGCAAGCAGTTTGGCCTGGGAGGGGGACTTGAGGGGGCAGGTGAGGTTGATTGATCTTTGGTGCATCTTCAGACATATAGGAGAATGCTGACCAGGAATCCACACCAGCCCCAGCCCCACTTCTACCTCTGGCATACATTGTTAACCAGGGGCTATGTTTTGGGACTGCAGTGCCTGTCTCTCAACACAGTCCACAGCCACACCCATCTGCATTAGGGCTTTAATTGCAGGTTTTTGTTTCCGCCCTCAGCCCAGACTGGATCATGAGGATCAAAACAATGGAAAGCTGCTCTCTCAGCTGGTAATCTGTAGCAAGGGGTCTAGTGCCTCTGGACACCCCTGGATGGTTGTTGTAGACAACTTGGAGCCTGGCCTGCAGTATTCATCATATACCCTTGCCTGTACTACACTGTCTCTTAGTCATAGGTTCTCCTAACCTGCAGTATGGTAACAATAAACTGCATTTGCTTAGGAATTTGCATTAGCAGGACTACTGACACACACACACACACACACACACACACACACACACACACACACACACACACCTGCTCTCTTCTTTTTTCTGCTATCTTTTTGAGGGGTATAGGAAATCCTTGGTTGAGGGCCAGTTTCAGCTTTGATCTTTTTCCTATTGATGGGCAGCCTAGAGACATTTTAAAAAAGACTTCTCAACATGAACTAGGAAATAATCCGGCCCTACCGTTAGTCAAAGGGTAGCAACTGGTTCAGGCAGCAGGTCTGGTTGTTCCTCTGAAAGCCCTAATCAGAGGGCAGTTTACAGTGTGAAAATGCAAAATACATAGCATAACAACTGCCACCACCGTACCCCCATGTAATGTGTGACGTGCCCCAACTTGGCCACATCTAAACTAGGATGATGCCCCGGATGCTGTGGAGAATGTGACCAGCATTTAAATAAGATCCAGCTGCCACTCCACTTGGCTTTTGTGTGTGGGCACCATATTGTCCTTTGCTTCAGGCAGCAAAACATGCTTGGCTGGCCTTGCCAGGAAATGATTTATCCAAATATAAGTGACGGTTCTCTCTGATCATTTTGCATCTGAATGCCCCTTCCTCCATCCTCTCTTGCTCATAGAAGAGAGGAATGGGGAAAAGGGAATGGAGGAAGAGACACAGGGATATAATTGCACACCTTCCACTCTCCCTCTTTATTCCTTCTATGCTCCTTGCCTTATCTCTCAGCCAGCAACTCCTGCCTGTTTGCTAGTTTTGAAGTCTCTTGAGCTGCTACAACCCCACCTTTTCCACTAGCCATGTTCTTCCAGCCTGCCAGCCTATTCTGTTTTCTCCTCTCCTGGTTTTCTTTCCCACCTGATCCATTGTTCCATGGATCATGGATACTGGAACAGCTTCAGTCCTCACTGGGCTATTTTGGAGTCCCTCGTTTTTGTGTGTTTCCCTAAGTCTATTGATACCTCTGTCTTGTTTGTGGGTGATGCCATCTTCACCCCTGAAGGTCACAAATGAAAGGGAGCATCACAAATAGGGAATGAATCAATTGACAGTTAATTCTGTGTAGACGTGTATAGGATTGCACTGGGAGTGTCAGACACACAGCTGTAGCTGTATATGCGTAACTTCTAAGTGACTTGTGTTTTGTATTTAAGGAATTTGAATTATTCAATAAATGATTTCTGATATCACAGCTCACCATGGTAGAACCATGTGGTGTATTTCAGATGAGATGCTGGACTATGACTGTCATTGTCCCTGTCCATTGGCCATGCTGGTGGGGCTGAAGAGAGTGGTAATCTAACTCTATAGAAAGTACCATGTTAGCTGCCACAGAAGTCAACAGAATGGGAAAGTAACACTGGTAATGGACACAATTTAACTAGTTCTTTAGCCAAGACCAGACAAGACAGTCACCTTGCCATGTTGCAATGCTGGCATGGCAAGGAATCATGTCACAGGCTTCTCTCATATCAGTTTAGACTCTGACATTACTGGAACATGCTGCAACTGTCTTCATGCTGTAGAATGTAATGGACCCATATAACCTTGCCAGGTGAATATTGGAGCTGTAGCAGGATTTACAATCTTTGAATCATTGTTAATCTCCACTGAGAGATGATTGGAGATGAAGAGTCACTTTGTAGTGGAAAGGGAGTCCTATGAATCCACACAAGACTGAGGTGTTTATATGCAACTTTTTCTCTTTTCTGTGACTTCTTTTTCTTCTTGACCTAAATTCTACAAATAAAACGTTGCTACTCAACTGTTGGACGTGGGTGGCGCTGTGGGTTAAACCCCAGAGCCTAGGACATGCCTATCAGAAGGTCGGCGGTTCAAATCCCTGCGATGGGGTGAGCTCCCATTGCTTGGTCCCTGCTCCTGCCAACCTAGCAGTTCGAAAACACATCAAAGTGCAAGTAGATAAATAGGTACCACTCCGGCAGGAAGGTAAACGGCATTTCCGTGCACTGCTCTGGTTCGCCAGAAGCAGCTTAGTCATGCTGGCCACATGACCTGGAAGCTGTACGCCGGCTCCCTTGGCCAATAAAGCGAGATGAGTGCTGCAACCCCAGAGTCTTCCGCGACTTGACCTAATGGTCAGGGGTCCCTTTACCTTTATTCAACTGTTACTATGCTAAACGTTTAAATTGTTTGATCATTCGGATGTTTGGCATTCACTGTGACAATGCTGGGGGGCAGCATTCTTCCTTTGTTGTTTTCATCCAATTTCTAAATAAGTTTTTTTGCACCAAAATAAATAGACAATTCAGTTTTTTGGTGGTGCATCTATGGTACAAGATATCAATTATCAGACATATACTTCTGGCAAATGGCGACTTGTAACTCTTCCTTTCCACAGAGCAGAGGTGTAGCCAATTTCCTAAGCCTGAAGGACATATACTATACCACTCCACTGTTTGGGTCATTCACACTCCTCAAGGAAGAACTATGGTAGTTATGAAGAAAAGAGGGTAATATAATACTTATTAACACCAACACTCATTCAGAATAGTTGGGTGAAGTTTAGTCACCCCACCTTAGGAAAAGAAAGTTGCTTATCCAATAAGCAGAGAACACAGTGGTGTCCAGAAATGTTACTCTGCAGAACTGGGCAAATTTAACTTGGGAAATGGGTGGTACATGACCCCAGTCAAACTTGCAAACTTGATATATCATTTGTCTGACAATAAATGTTGGAAATGTAAGGAGGCTGAAGGAACATTCTTTCATCTTTGGTGGACATGCCCGAGGGTGAAGGCTTTCTGGGAAATGATTTATAACGAGTTGAAAAAGGTATTTAAGTATACCTTTCATAAGAAACCAGAGGCCTTCCTCCTGGGCATTGTAGGCCAGAGAGTGCCAAAGAAAGATAGAACTTTCTTTTTATATGCAACTACAGCAGCAAGAATCCTTATAGCCAAATACTGGAAGGCACAGGAGTTACCCACGCTGGAAGAGTGGCATACGCAACTGATGGACTACATGGAATTGGCTGAAATGACTGGCAGAATCCGAGACCTGGGAGAAGAGGCAGTGGAAGAGGACTGGAAAAAATTTAAGGACTATTTACAAAAACATTATAAGTTATATGAATGTTGAGAATTTGCTAAGTTTTGAGAAAAACATGCTTCCGTATTGAGATTTGGAAATGATTGAAATTAAGTTATGATTGAGAAAACTTTAAATTTCAGAGTAAATAATTAGATGAAAGTACAAAAACACATGAAACAAGGTATTAATTTGCTGTCCACTTTTATTGTAAAGAATGCAGGAATGGAGGATGTGGGGAAGTCCAGTAGATGATGAAAAAAGATTTGGAAAAATGAATTTTCTTATATTTAAATTTTTCTTTTTTCTTGTAAAACAGCTTTTGTTGTGTCATGGACGATGTATTCTGACCTTGGAAAATAAAGCAATAAAAAAAATTTTAAAAAAAAATTAACTTGGGAATTGGATGCACTCAATGGTCAACCAGTTGACCATTTTCATCTTAGAGAATTACTATAATGTTTCAATTGATAGGAGTTGCTACTTCAGTGGGTGGTTTGTATATTGGAGCATGTGGGCAGGCAAGCGGGGGGGGGGGGAGGTCCTCCAATGTTGTGATGATCACCTTTTAAAAAATAAATAAAAATGAGGTATATATCTGTATTGTATTTTGCAGAAGCTGTTGGATGACCATGAAGCTCTGGATAATTACGTTAAGTTTGATGGGGGTTGCTTGTGATGTACTACAGTCCAAACCAGCTTTACCTTCAACTATTGGCTCTTGTGATATGCTGTGTTCCTGTGAGGAAAAGGATGGTGTCTTTAATATAAACTGCGAAGAAAGAGGCATCAAGGAGTTATCTCAAGTACATGTTCCACCATCCCGGCCTTTCCACCTTAGTCTTCTCAACAACAGTTTGACCATGTTACATGTGAATGACTTCTCCAGCTTCATCAACGCTCTCTCACTCCATCTTGGATTTAACTACATTGTAGACATTGAACCAGGAGCATTTAATGGACTAAGTCTCCTTAAGCAACTTCATATCAATCACAACTCATTAGAAGTACTTAAAGAAGACACATTCCATGGGCTGGAGAACTTGGAATTCCTTCAAGCCGACAACAATTTCATCACAATAATTGAATCAAGTGCCTTCAGCAAGCTCAACAGGCTAAAGGTGCTCATTTTAAATGACAATGCCATTGAGTTTCTTCCTTCCAACGTATTTCGCTTTGTGCCATTAACTCACTTGGATCTTCGTGGGAACCAGCTGCAGACTCTACCTTATGTTGGTTTTTTAGAACATATTGGTAGAATTCTAGACCTTCAGTTGGAAGATAACAAATGGGTCTGCAATTGTGACCTGGTGGAGTTGAAAGCTTGGTTAGAAAACATGCCTCCTCAGTCCATAATAGGTGATGTTGTATGCCACAGCCCTCCTATTTTGAAAGGCAGCATTTTAAGCAGATTAAAAAAAGAATCCCTATGTCCCACTCACCCTACAAATGATCTTGATGCCCCATCAGGGTCCTTACCATTGGTGGTTACCACGTCAATAAGTGATAGTCACTACTCAACCAAGGTAATACCTATTTTTAGGGTTCCTACCAGGGAAACTGCTTTAACACTTCATGTAACAAAGCCAGCTACTCTGCTTCCTGGTGTGTATTGTCCGATCCCTTGTCAGTGCACTAGCAATATCCTTTCAGGGATTTTAATGCAATGCCAGGAACAAAACATTGAAAGCCTGTCAGATTTGGGACCTCCTCCTCCCAATCCTAAAAAGCTAATACTAGCTGGAAATATAATTCAGACATTACTGAAATCAGACCTTGTAGACTATGGCAGCCTAGACTTGCTTCACTTGGGAAGCAACCGTATTGAAATACTAGAAGAAGGATCCTTCCTCAATCTCACCAGATTGCAGAAATTATATCTCAATGGGAATCATCTCACCAAGCTGAGTCGTAATTTATTTTTAGGCCTGCAGCGCCTTGAGTATTTGTATCTTGAATATAATTTCATCAAGGAGGTTTTACCCGGGACATTTCATCCCATGCCTAAACTAAAGGTCCTTTATTTAAATAATAACCTTCTTCAGACTTTGCCAGCCCACATTTTTTCTGGAGTTCCTCTAGCCAGGCTAAATCTGAAAACCAACCAGTTTGCACATTTGCCTGTAGGGAATGTCTTAGATGATCTGGATTTACTCGTACAACTTGAGCTGGAAGACAACCCTTGGGATTGTACTTGTGACTCAGTTGGGCTGCAGCAATGGATACAAAAGCTGAACAGAAACACAATGACAGGCGACATTTTCTGCACATCTCCAAGGCATTTAGCTAAAAAGAAACTGAAATCTCTGAATAGTGACGTGCTATGTCCCGGAATAAACAGCCCACCTTCCGCAACTCATGCTAGCTTCATAGTTGTCACCACGTCACCAACCACCACCAATACGGCAGACACTATTCTGCGATCACTTACTGATGCAATTCCTCTTTCAGTTTTAATCCTGGGGCTTTTGGTAGTCTTTGTAACCATCATTTTTTGTGCAGCTGGTATCGTCGTCCTTGTCCTACACCGGCGGAGAAGGTACAAAAAGAAGCACACAGATGAACAGATGCGGGACAACAGCCCAGTGCAGCTTCAGTACAGCATGTATGGTCACAAAACAACACACCACACCACTGAGCGCCCGGCCACAAGCTTGTATGAGCAGCGTATGCTCAGCCCCATGGTGCAAGTTTATCGAAGCCCATCTTTCAGCCCCAAATTTACAGACCATCAACAGGAGATGAATGACAAGGAGATGAATGATTCCAAACATCTCCGCAGAGGCCTCTTGGAGAGGGAGCACGCCTCCCCTCTGACGGGGTCAAATGTCAAATATAAAGCTACAGACCAATCGGCTGAGTTCCTTTCCTTCCAGGATGCCAGCTCCTTGTACAGGAACATTCTTGAGAAAGAAAGAGAACTTCAGCAACTGGGGATAACTGAGTACCTACGGAAAAACATAGCCCAGTTACACCCTGATATGGAGGTACACTATCCAGGAGCTCACGAGGAGCTAAAGCTGATGGAGACACTCATGTACTCCAGGCCAAGGAAAGTTTTACTAGAACAGACTAAAAACGAATATTTTGAACTCAAAGCCAACCTGCATGCTGAACCCGATTACCTGGAGGTTTTGGAACAGCAAACATAAAAGGGACCCTTTTTGAAGGATTAAGTCAAAAACTATTCTATCTTAACTCGGAACTTGTAAATAAAAGTGCCTTATAATAATGTGTCGTCAATCAGAACTTTAAGCACAGTAGTAATCCGAGTTGAAAGAAACTCTCAGGGATAACTGTGTGAAGCCATGGGGAAGTTTGCAGGCTCTGTGTCTCATTCTCACATTAAATGTGAACTTTGGGCAACTGGATTCTGGGAGGAAGTTCAGCTGGCCATATTCCTCGAGACCTGCATGGCAATCCCTCATTTTTTTCGCTTAGAAAAGAAAGAAAAAAGCTTGAAGCATTGGTTACTTTTGTTCCCCGGACCTAGACACTAAATTTTCTTTAAAGTGCACCTATATACCTGGTTCCAAGAGGCTGGTGTATATTGGTTAGGAATTAGTTCACATGTATGAGTATTGTCTATGGATCGCACATGAGATTGCCACACAATAAATACAAGATAAATTATATGATTTTAAACAGATATTTAACTGTACAACCCCAAGGTCTGCCAATATTTAAGTACCTTTTATTTGGAATGTTATTTATATTTTTTAAAAAACCTGCTAGAATATTCAGAAGGAGGGGGAAAGCTGTGTACATGTTTTATCTAGGAATCCTAAAAGACATACACAAAACTCTTTTTTGGTTACTTTCCCTAGTAGTCAATTTTAATTGTTTTTTGGGACAGTCTTCAATATAATGCTGCTATAGAGTTCTGGGCACCATTGGTTGACACTCATACCTGAGGAAATTTGGAAAGCTACTGAGAATTTATTGTAAATATATTAGTAAATCAATGAGCTGGGCTATTATTATTATTATTATTATTATTATTATTATTATTTATATGATTGACTCCCGTTATGGTTGTGGATACTTTGGATGAAACATCAATTCACTGTGGTCAGTTAAATGTCACATGCAAATAAGTACACCAATGAGCAACAAGATCTTATTTGTGTATCTGTGTAAATACTCCATATTTGATACAATTACTCAGCAAAAGAGCTTTTATCAGGTCCGGTTTAAAAATGATACCAGGCACTTTAAGAAAGAGAGAAAAGTACATGTGCACGGTTTGCAACTTGTTTTAAAGCAAATCGCTGGAATCTATATTTACAACGTTAGCACTCCAGAATCTTGGGTCTGTGTCATGTTAACGCTGAACATATAGTTGCCAGTGACTAAGCTGGGCCCCAGTCATTGATTTGTCCGCATGCTTAAGCATGCTTACATGAAAGCAAGTTCTGTCAGGCTGTTTCGGCTATTACACTGCAACTGTCCTGGGTTTTCTGCTGAGTATGCACTCGACAAGGAGGTACGATCAAGTCTAGCTCTCGGACGGCTACATCTGTGTTTTCACACACCCGTTTGTTGAACACGCAAGCCACATTTTCGGTGCACACTTATCCCCCTCCCAACAACTTAGATGTAAACCTAAAAAAGCAAAAATAATACGAGCAGCCTGACAGATGTTCTGTGGAAATCAATGGGATGTACTTCACAAAGATGCTCTCCAGATGAAGGTGACATGAAGCACGACAGCTTTATTTTACTACAAAGCTTAGTTAGGTTTATATGAACTATTTATTCTGTACAGTTTGTATCTATTTCAGTTCACAGTTACTATTATTATTCTTGGGTGCCTTTCAAGCAAATCAAAGAACTTCTAGCTATAAATAAAAAGATGACAATAAATGTTTTTTTTAAAAAAGAAAATGCACACCCCCCCTGAAAAGTTCCTGTTTTAAAATAAAAAGACATTGGCAAGACCTGCACACACAAGTTCAGATCTGTTCGGAAATCAAATGGGAGGCTTCAGTTCGTCGTCATGCATACAGAAGCATCTTGTTCTGGGTGCAAGAAGGCAGTTTAGTGCCCATGCATGACTGACACAGTGCCAAATTGTTACTCTGACCTGCATTTCCCCTCCTGTTTAAGCTCGTCTTTTGTGAACCAGCTACACTTTGATGGATTCATTCGCCCCCACTTCTGGCTCTGACTATTTAAGGCTGAATGGTTACATACTATAAAAAATGCATTGTTAAATCAATTCAGCCGTAAGTAGTCTAAAAGTCGTTAGAAAACAGGAAGAGGAAAATATATACCAAGTGCTGCCTACATGATTCGGACCTATTTATCATCATGAAATAAAACATCTTAATTAAGCTTCCTGAGGTTTGCTTATGTAGCAGCTGACATAAATGTTAATTTCTCTGCAATGTCTTGACCTTCTGAAGAAACAGCCTCTCTGGGGGAAAGAAAAGGAAATATTTGTAACAGATACTTTATTCATGCCAATTGGCACAATGCTGCAATGTCTTTCACAAAACTGAGCCTGTGGCCCTGCAGCTTGATTGAACTACCACCTTATTTCTTATATTAGATCATTGATTTCACAACCAAAACTATAGGCTCCTAGGAATGAACAGGGAGATGGGGTAATGTGAACAGGTAATGTGATAGGCAGTAAAAACACCTGCTGAATTTATCATGGGGCTGCCATGGAAATAATCTCCACCCACCCCTGCCTGTGGGTTCTGTATAGAGAATTATTATTTCACAAGACACTGTCAATACAGGATATTCAAACTGAGAAACGTGGAGTTGCAGATGGGATGTCACACTACATGATGAGTATTTTGATTTTTTTTCCCACTGGGAGAAAGAAGAATATGCTGGTTTTGGTGGTGTTTCCTTATTTTTAGTAATTCGCTTTAGCAAAAGAAACTGACTACTAATTAAGATATTACTACTATTATTAATAAGTTGTAGTTCGAGAAGGGGAGTAAATTTGATGCAGTTCACATTTAAAGGTGACCTTACCAAATCTTCACTTGTCGAAACAATATGTGAACGGAAATGCAGCCATCCTTCGAAACTCACACTTCTCCAAATTTTGCAGTGCAGTTCTCCTGCCAAGTGATGTGTACAAAAATACATATATTAGGGTAAAGTGTGCCTATAAATGCATGTATTAGAAAACAACATGCAAAAATACATTGCATGGAGGAAATTCCTTTATAAATATATATACAAAATTCAAAATGTGAAAATTCACACTAAAATGCTGATGAATTTTCATGAGTACCTTAAAAATAAAAAACCACAAACTTATGTGGAAATGTGGAGAACTGAATTTAAGGTTGGGAAAGTAAGAAACTCAGAGAAAACCAAATTTACCCATTGTTGATAATGCACATGCATTCTTTGAGTAAGACCTATTGAATTCAATGCAAATTTCTTCCGAGTTCACATCTATTGTATTGTTTTGCATTGCTGCAAGCTTGAATGTATTGACCTGGAGGTAAGTGACATTGAATGCTTGCTTCTGCTAAAACAAATGTAGGATTGTGCTATAAATATTAAGGCTGGGCCAATAAACTCCCTCCAGTTTCTGAAAATGTCTGCCCCTATCACATCGTTTTAGAGGTGCTCAGCTTAGCAGTGTGATAAGCAAGAAGCTGTGAAGAGATGCTGCTCTCCCCACGCCCTCACTACGTGGATGTTTTATTGCATTTACTACATTTATGCACATATGGGCGCACACTCTGTTTTTCATGTTTTGCAGACCTCACTTGTTTTATGGGCTGCATAGATATTCCTGATTAATACAATGCTCACTTTGATTTCTCCCTCCCTCCCCCCCAATAAAATATAGTCATTCCTATTTCACTACTGATACATAAGGAGTTCCTAAAGATAGTGTCTGAGCTGATTTTTACTTATTTTATTATATTTTTGCAGTCTTATAAAGCAAGGTTAAGACTGACTCACACACAGAATATCTTCTAAGGCAGTGGTTCTCAACCTGTGGGTCCCCAGATGTTGTTGGACTACAACTCCCATCATCCCTGAGCTCTGGCCTTGCTAGCTAGGGGTGATGGGAGTTGTAGTTCAACAACATCTGGGGACCCACAGGTTGAGAAAGGCTGTTCTAAGGGCTTGCAGAGGTAACAGGTGGTGTTGAACACCAGTCCTATTCAGGTTAGATCCATTGAAATTAATGGCCACGACTAACTTAAGTTCACTGATTTCAGTGGGTGGTATTCAACCAAGCAGGGGTGGCTTGTCCCATTTCATCGCCTGTGGTGAATTGAGAATCTGCCCCTTGTCCCAACTGAAGTCTCACTCACTGGGGTCATGCAGTTGTGTGAGGTGGCTTCTGAGTTCCAGTGAGATCTTGCCCTGCAAAATCGCATGGGGCTCTTGCAAGGACTTGCTGGAACCTGGAAGCCAACTGCATGACCCCAGTAAGTCAGGCTTCAGTGGGGGTGGAGGTGCCCACAGTTGCGTCTCTTGGATTCTGCCACCTGAGCTTCAGTCCACATCATGGATGGGCCAGCCTTGCAATGTTTCACTCAAAACATACCTGATGAAATTAATAGACTTAGTCATATTCATTCATTTTAGTACGTCTGCTGAGGAGGACTTAACAACAACATGAAAGTGCTCTGGGCCTGCTGCTCCTATGTGTACCACACACATTTATTTTCTGCACTGGTCAACACCAAACCAAGGTGCCAGGCGAAAATGTTTCTCTTCAACCAGGCGTTTGGCTGATTAACATTCTACGGCCAGCCATAAATAAATAAATACATAAATACATAAATTTTAATAAGGTTTATAGAGAAAAATACAAAACTTGATATATTTCCCCATGTTTTCACCAAATCAAGACTTTTCTATAGATGCAATAAAAACACAGAAAGGGGCAAGGGAGAGAAATAGAGAAGGAAAAAGAATAATAAAAAAATAGAAGAGAGGTTAAAAGAAAAGATAGAAAAATAAGATTCAGAAAGCAAAAAAACTTCTGATTCTTCATCTGTCTGCTATATTATATGGCCTTCAAAATGTGTCTGTGGGAGGGGGATGATTGATTTTGTTCTATTATATATTCTATTTGTTTTCATTTTGCATTTTTAGGTTGTGAACCGCCCTGTGATCTTTGGATGAAGTGTGGTATACAAATTTTAATAATAATAATAATAATAATAATAATAATAATAATAATAATAATAATAATAATAATAATAATAAATAATAATAATAATAATAATAATAATAATCCAGGTAATTTTACCCCTCAAGGGAGGGAAAGACTTTTGCCATGTAGCCACTGTATATGCCTATATGTATGAAATACAGTATATTTCATAGAGAATAGGGCTACGGATTACTGCTAGCTACTGTTGGAGGCAATGCACCTGTCAATACTGGTTTCTGGGAATCACAAGTGGGGACAATATTATGGCACTTGGCTTCTGCTTGTGGGCTTCCTATAGGCATCAGGTTGGCCACTGTGAGAACAGGATGCTGGGCTAAATGCCTTCGGTCTGACCCAGCTGGGATCTTGTGCAAGAAGGAGAGCCAAAGACACAGCATCCTCAGGGCTGAATGTTGAGCAGCAGCTCGTAGGAGTTCGAGTCACATGAGTGGGAAGAGGGAATACCCCTTACTCAGTTTTTGCCTGGCTGAAAAGTCATGTCAGGGCCATAATGCATTTATTTATTAAGTTTGTAAGGTCCCTCATAATCCCCCCCTGAAATTAATCTTCATTTGATTTTAAATATATAAAATTATAACAATACAACCATACACAGTTAAGAGATTCCTCTTAATCTCTGGACTTCCCACCTTCCCCTCGATGGGTCCCATTACCAAGCCTTTTCTGCTACATCTTTTTCAATAGTCCATATTTTGTATAACTCCGTTGTCTCCATAGTTCCTTGCTACATTTCAAGTGTTACTGCAATCCTGCTAGTGTTTTCATCTCCATACAATGGCCTCCAAGATAGATTATAAATTTCCCCCATTCTTTGTTGAAGTTTTGGTCTTCTTGGTTCCTGAGCTTTCTGGTCAATTTTGTCATTTTGGCATAGTCCAACAGTTTAATTTGCCATTCCATTCCTCTCTGGTGGGGACTTTATCTTCTTTCCATCTCTGGGCTAATAGCTAATAGCATCCTTGTGGCTGTTGTTGCATACATAAAAGGTCATTTTTGCTCCCTCAGAATATCAGCACCTACAATTCCTAGTAAGAAAGCCTCTGTTTTTTTTTTATTTTATAAAGGTTAATTTAAACATTTTTTTCCCAATTCATTATATATCATTTCCCATAATTCTTTTATTACCTTACAGGACCACAACATATGGAAAAGGTACCATCTTTTCTTTACATTTCCAGCAGATATCCTCATGAAATAAATTACTGAGGCATCGTAGAAATAAAAAGAATGAACCCTTAAAAATGAGTCAGCCGGCATAAAGCCTAGATACAAAACTAGTATAATAAAATTTGACCATGTACAGCACAGAACTAAAAGAGCCATCAAATGCACACATGTTAAACATCATGGGGACTTAAACCCAGAAGAGTATTAACCTGGCACTTCACTAAAGAATGCCATCCCATATCTGGGAAAGGGAAGGGGCACTATTGAAAAGACTTTGGTCCAATTTGCACAATACATTTAAAGCAGTGCTATACCAGTTTAAACAACCATGACTTTCCTCCAAAGAATCGTGGGAACTGTAGCTTGTTAAGGGTACTGGGAGTTGTTAGGTGACCCCCTTCCCCCTCATAGAGCTACGATTTCCAGAGTTCCTCGGGAAGAGGGATTGACTGTTAAACTACTCTGAGAATTGTAGCTTTGTGAAGGGAGCAGGGGTCTCCTAACAACTTGGGTAGCATAGGATGTGGTTGAACTCAGCACTCAGTTACAGCACACCATCACTAGCATAATAATTCCACAATGGATGGTCATAATTCAGAGGGCTGGGTGCACGGTATGCATAGCTGTCAACTGTCCCTTATTTGGCAGGAAAGTCCCTTATCCCAGCACTGTGTCCCGCTGCTGTCCCTTATTGATGATGTCTCTTAAATTTCCCGGGTTTCAAAGGAAGCAGCTCCTCTCTCTCCCTCCCTGCCAGCCAGGGAGGAGGGAGGCTCCAACTGTGTTGCTTGGCTGCGTTGCTCACCCAATGAGGAGTCTAAGAATGACTGGGGGGTGGAGCTTGCATGCCTTGTGCCGATCAAATCGGCCTCGTTGCCTGGGGACTCGCCTTTGCTCAGCGCTTCCCAGCGGAGAGGTGACGGTGGTTTTCCTTGCTGCATCCCCTTTGCCAGGTTGCTGCACTGTGGGAACCACCGCTTGAGGCTTCGTTTG